GTCATCAGTACCCTGAAGCGCACCCGGAGACTGACAGTGCTATCACCGGTGCTTCTGCCAAAATTTATCTCATTGTTTCTGCTAAATTTTCTCCCTTTTCTTCTTCCATGTTTTGAGGTTTGAGATAGGGTTCCAGTTCGTTAATCTCTCCTTTCAACATTCCACTCCTGTCGTTTCCAACCATGCTCGATTTGCTGTCAATATCAACAATTTTCTTACCACTTTGTTCATATTTTTCTTCAATTTTTTGAACTCTATTCTCAAATTTCATTGTTTTATAAATATTCTCAACTCTTCCCTCTATTTTTTCTGTTTTTTGTTCTATGTTCTTCATCCTCTTTTCAATGTTTTTTATATTTATTTGTACTTTTTGAATTTCAAACATAATCATTTGCAATGTTAATTCTTTTTCTTCTTCATGTTGCACTATTCTTCCAGGTTATAAACACTGCCATAAAACATCCAAAGCTTTTTGTTAAGTTTCAAACAAGTTCACTATAATATTTCAAGTCAAGGTTTTTTCTTTACTCCAGTCCATATTGATAGTACTCCAGAAGAGCACCTGCATAAACAATCCATCCTCTTCCCACTATCCCTTTTAATAAACAAAATCAGGAGCCTTGAAGTATTAGATACAAGTCAGATATTCAAAGAAAATAAAAAAGGACAATGTTACCAAGCCTCTAGCTTCTAGATGGCAGTGTTGCTTCTTTTTCCTCTGCCTCTACCCCTCTTTAAATTCCGAACTTAAGAAGAAGAAAAAGCAAACAATCCAGGCGAGCGTTGTAAAAAGAAAAGAAAGAAAATCATAATCCACAAATATGGAAAAAGAGGAAAAATAGAAGAAGAGGGAAAAAAGAAACCAGTCCAATTTAAAAAGTAAGAGGCATTTGTAAAAGTTCAATCCATTAAAAAAAGATAACACACTAAGTTTAATTCAGGTTTAATTTCCTGCTTCCTCTCTTCTGTCTTCAATTTTAATTTTACTAAGTCTTTTTGGGTGTTCTCTAATAGTAAAATTTATCTCATCATTTCGAGACACTCTCTCTCCTGCTTTTCTTCCCTTCAGGGACTGTCCCAACCTTCTGCAGCTTCAATAGCTGCTTCTCTTTCGCCGGAAAAAAGAATTTCTCCTGGATCAGTCAGGGACTTTGCAATGTCCCTGAGATCAGCAGGACGTGCCCTTCTCTATCACCGTCTCTACGGGATGATTTAGGTCCAAAAGGACCAGCCAACAGCAGAGATATCGACAGCAATCCTGGAGCTCCAAAATTGCATGTCGTGTCATAGCGACATCAGCCCCGCCCTCCTCTATGTTGCTATGTTTGATTCAAAGACTACGGTATCTTAGGAGCAAAAAAATTAATGAGTTTTCTTTAATAAATAATGCTATTACTTTCTCTCCATTTCAATTCTGAATATACTTCCCTTCTTTCCCCAGTTATTGGTTTTTATTGATTGGATAGCATATTTATTTTTCTTCAGTTCTTGCATATAGTTAAACAGTGAATTGACATTTTGGTTTCATTATAAATTATTTTGTGTCTTATTGATGTTAACAGATAAGTTACAAACTAGTCCACCAAGCAGCTATTAAAGTAAAGAAAGTCAAATGATTGTTCTTAAAATGTGTTTTCTTTCTTGCAGAATAACCATGTGCATGGACAACCATACACAGGCCCTGCAGCACACCATATGAACAATCCTCAGCGAACTGGCCAACGAGCACAAGAAAATTATGAAGGCAGTGAAGAAGTTTCACCACCTCAGACAAAAGAATAGTGAAAATGCACATAATTAAGTTGTTCCATCAAGACTGTGCACCCAGGCCTTACAGTCCAACTTTTCTCTGTGTCTGGCTGATATTTAGATAAACTATTCCTAATCAACATGGAGTGAAGAGTCTATTCACTGTCTTATCTGCAGAAAATTGCTGTCAATATATAACCTGCCTGCAGTGGAAAGTGTATAGTGTTTTGTAATAAATGGCCTGATGCTAATGTGTAAATGGCAAAGGTGTATATAGTATATTAATGTTTGACTGTTAATTCTTAAACAAGAAACTCTTTTCGTCTTGAATGAGACTCAGATCTACAACAATTAATTTCTTGATATATCTGCTGCGCTCTACAACCAGTGTTGCCTGCCTAATGGCAGTTAGATCAACTCAACTCCTTACCCTTGCCCCCCTCACCTCCCCAAAAAGTAAGCCTGTTCATGTCAACCAGAAAAAATACTTTCATATAATTCTTTGCCACTGGAGTCCATTTTACTATGAGTATCATAATGACTGGTAACCTTTTAATTCTTTGGTTGATGTGGAAAATTGGTGATATACCTTGTTTCTAGGTCTCTTTCCATTGCCTTTTCCATTCTGGTATTAAGTTAATCACTTGAAGCTATAGTTAAGCTGTAACATTTAGCATGGCTTCACACCAAGTTAGAGTAGCCAGTAAGGAAAGAAAATTTCAGTTGTCCAAAATGAAACTGCTGTTTAAACCCTTTTCTTCAGACACCTGGGTTATAAAACAGGAGGGGGGGGGTTGGGCAAAGTGGCCGATGGTTTTCAGTTGCACATACGTTCCTCACATCTGATGTTTGACAGTTCTGTCTCTGGATGGGGTTAAAAAGACACTTAGTTTTCAGTAATAGGAAATTAAAAAAATTTAAAACAAATATGCAAATTTTGCTATGCCAGGATGCCTGGAGCATAACAGACTGTATTTGGTGTGCTTGTTTCATTTCTTCAGTAGAGCTTATTTGATAAAACTTCTAATACTTTCCTTTATACTGCACTGCAGTGAAGTGGAAGTCAACAAAATCACACAATACTTGTGAGTATCACTGCACCAAGTTAACTTGCTGATTTTCTGCTCATGCACAATTCTACTTGAAAGCAAGAATTGTCTTAGCTCTATATCCATTATAAGAGAAATCGTAACCTTAGGAGCAGGGTTTGATTAAAGTAAATAAATTACTGGTTAGTCAAACATAAACCCAAGGTACCTCTGTTTCAGAGTAAACATTTGTTGAAAGACTTCAAGGAACTCATTAGTAAATACTGTATTTAAATTAAAAATTGGTAACTTGAATGTGTGTAATTATTTTGGAACCTGTCAAAAAACCAAATACTCCCTGCAAACAGATACAGCCCACCCTATACTATTTAAATATTTGCTGTTTTATTTTATAGAAATTATTTTGCTGAATTCACAAATAGAATTTGATTTAAGAAGATCATTTTTGTCCTGTGGTATGTGTGTGTGGTTTTTTTTTATAAAAAAAACAATGCACAGGTAGTTGAATTCTGTGCACTATACTGAATTCTGGAACAAAAGTCACAGTGAGATTGGTGGACAGAAATTTGATCCTTTACAAAGAATAAAAAAAGAAACCTGTCATAGTTTCTAATGTGACTATCTTGTACTTTTTGTATGTTTTATATGTACATATATATTTAATGAGCACAAGCTTTCTGGTATTTTTATTAAGTTAATACAAACAATGCTGCTTATCAAACTTAGGACTTGAAATAAGTAAAATGAGGAAATCAAAGATTTCTTTTGGATTTAGTGTAACACATTTAGAGTCTTAACACATTTTTATTCTAGGTAACAGTGCTCATGTTACCCTTCTGGGTTTGCTCTAATATACTTGTTATGTTTTAATAGCATTTTCCTGGATTGGTTAACAACATTTGACTGAAGCTTTACCGATCTATTTGGATAAATTTAGTACTAGCTTAAACAAAACAATACTCTGATTTTGTGTTAGAACCTCAAGGAATCCCTTGAGCCAGCATTTATTGTTAGATGTTATTTCAAAGAATCTTTTTGCCTTCCAAAACAAGGTAGTTACTACTTCAGCCTTGGGGAGGTGGGGAAGCAAGTGTGACACAATTGTGGAACTTACGTTCACAATGCTGTATGTTTTTTACCCTCCATGGGGGAACATATTTTCAAATGTTCAGCTTAGGGTTGTTACTAGTAAACTTACAGAAAACTGTATGAGAGTATGGCTGGTTGGAAGTCAATGAATAGCAGAAACTTGAGAATTCTCTTTGCTTTTGGCAAAATGTTAGATTTATTCCTTTTAAAATGTTCTTCGCAGTAATTTATGCTTCTGTCAGTTATGGCAACAGTAGCTTCAAAACTGTCATTTTATTACCTCGGTATTGATGGCACACATTAACAAGTCATCAAAGTGCCTAAATGTTTGATTTTCATTTTCTTTTTATTATTGAATTCTGTTTTTTTGCTTTTGTTTTAACACCTAAGGAAAAACTGTCTTCCATAAAAGTGATTCACCTAATGTTAACCTTACCTTTTTTAAAAATAATTTTAAGATTCAAACAAAAGTAAGTTGAACAGCTATAGAGGAAAAAAACAACAATTTTCGTACCAAAATGTATTTATAAAAATAGCTTTCATTTTTATAGGACCAATTCTGTATGCATATAACTTTTCATCACTAAGCTCAATGAATATTAAATGTTTAGTATTCTCACTGCTAAAGTCTAACCTAATTAAATAAGTATGCAAGCTTGCTGTTTTTTAATGTATTTTCACTTTGAAAGAACTTTTGAATGCCAAAAGTCAGAGGAGCCTCATTCATTAAAAAACAAAACAAAACCAGATTCTAGTCTTTAGTAGTTGTGGGAAGTAAGGGTAAGCATGACTGCAATGATCTCTGAAAACCAAGCAAAAAGTAAAAAATATCCAAAATAGAATTTTAAACCTCATAATCCTTAAATTGCATGTTTGTTTTGATAATTAGCTTTAGAAATGCATGTATTGATTTGCTTTCCTTTTCAAACATACTTAATTAGAAATAATTATATAGATAATGTGTTTATATATAGATATAACTTTTGAATGTCCTTTGTTCATAAGTGAATTAAAAACAGTATTTGAAATAGTCACTACAGAGTTAAGAATAAAATAGTTTTTCTTCCCTCTTTTGGCACACTTTTTTATAGAAGAATACATGATCTTGCCACTACTATACAGGCATTCTTAAATGAAGTTGCACTTTAAAAACAAGCTGCAAAACGTTTGTGTTAGGTTTCATGTTTCATGAAAAGCTGAATTATCCCAATGGCACTCCTGTGTGTTCCATTGGAGCTTGATTAAAATGTGGTTTTGTTTTTTTACACAGTCCTAATGCTCACTGATCTCCATGTACTGTTTTTTTTAAAAATAGTAATATTACCAAGTGTTATATGTGCTATATAAAATAGATCGTTGTGGATATTGTAAACACAGGTTGTGCTAGGATTCACATTCTTAAAAACTATTATACAAAAAAAACCACAAGAAATTTCTGCAAGAAATAAATACTTCAGAAAAGTACAAACATTTTTCTCTCAAATGAGATTATGGCAAAATGAAGAAAAAATATGATAGGGCAGGTTCATGCTTGTATGTGTACCATTTCAGGATGCTCAGCTCAGGTGGTGATTTGTATATTATTGAGTCATAAATGTTTTGGCTGAAACATTTGCAGTTTTGCAATGATTTCTTTCCTAAGAATGAAAAAAGTTGACAGGGCTTCTTCTATCTCTTCCTGTTTCTTCTAACAGTCTATCCTGAACTCAAGAAGAATCCTCTATCTGAATTGGAACAGTTTTCTCCTCTTTTCATCTTAAAGTTATCTTATTTGGGGGAATGGGGAGGAGGTACATGAAATATACTTTCTATTTTCTTTCATAATTTACTAGATCCAACTCTTTTTTCCAGGGAATCCATCCAATACTGTAAATAGAACATGTTGCCACCTATCAATCCTGTTTTATCTATACATTTGGTTGTAGGCTCTATCAACTGGCTGGTTGGAACCATTTAAAAAATAGTTTTTTCCTTCTTTTAAATTTTGAAACAAAATGGATAAAATCTACATATGTTCTGTCTTATAAGTTTCTCAACTTTCTAGTTTTGAAATTAATTTAGGATTTTCTGTATTTGTCTAATTATTTAAACATGGCTACAGAATTAATATTGTTCATTATATTAAGCTATTTCTGGTACTTTCTAATTCGTGAAGAATTTTACACTGAATTTCAGTTTTTTTTCAAATCAAAACATTACATAAATTATGTATTGAAGTAGAATTGAATCACAGTGGCTTCCAGGTGTCTAAAAAATAAAATACTTTTAGGCTACCTATGTTGGTGACTTGCTCTACTACAAAACATGTACTTAGGGACAGGCCTAACAACAAATCAGGAAGTTACCTATTTTAATTCCATTTGCTGAGAGCTCACTAGATAGCCTTGGGCAAGTTACTCCTTCAGCATCAGGCTCTCTTACTAAGGTAATGTACAGTACTATAGTTGTATGCAAAAAATGTATGCATCTTTGGTCAAAGCACAATAAAGCTGAAAATAGGTTGAATTTTCAGCAAGATTGTTATCCAAAACATACCTCTGATTCAGATTGGTTTAAAATAGCTAATTTTTTAATGTCTTCAAGGTCAATCAAATGGTCTTAAAACAAGATTGTTTTAGTTAGAAATGTTATGAAAGTGAGGCAAAAATCAAAAGTCCAAATAAGACTACCAGCAACAGAAAAGTGAAACTTCTGCCAAAGGAAGTGTTAATGATCACCGATGAAGGGAAAATGCAAGCTGCAGTGCTATATTCGCCATTTTCTCATTCTGATTCTGTAAGCACCCACATAAAGTTTAAGTACTGTAGGCGTTAAACCTTACAGAGAGATGTGTTGAACTGTTACACAGAAGTGTCAGCTTCTGTTCATTCATCCAGTCTACATTTTGACAAAGGGTACCTAAACTGCTAAATAATTGTCTTAATTTCTGTCACTATATTAACTCTTACCACCTGCATGCAGTTGGATTTTCTCTGTTTTTGTTTTCTTATTTTTAAATGTGTCACAAATGCTTTGTTGGGAGTAATTTGCATTAATGTATGTTCTACCCAATATCCCCTGGAAATACACTACCATGGGCTGAGTCATTGATGGGTAGCAATTCCAATTGCTATAATGAAAATGAGTCTCAGTCATGGGGATGTCTGTTGATTGATGAAAGCACAATTGTTGTATTGTATGCCAAGCAAATTAATAAAGTCACAACTTTAAAGCACAGGTTCGATTCCCAACAAGGGTGTGGCTAGCTGATGAGAGCTAAATAGCTTGAAATAGATCTATACTAGTCTCCCTTTATTTATTTATCAGCATAAATGTAACACACACACACACACACACACACATATATATATATACACACACATACATACACTATAGATTTTTTAATTTATTTTGCTTTTTCATGATCCAATAATATTAAATTTATTAAACAGTTTTTGTTACCCACCCACCCCCCCAACAGTCTCAATGATACCAAAAATATTCGTTTTGTTTTATTTGATATAACTGATTTTCTGACCTTTAAAAAGAACATGTATTTTCAAGATTTTACTAAATTAATTTCTGGGACAAACTGGATGACTTTTACTGTTTTGCTTTTCTAAAAATGCTATCTTTGGTAGTTCATCCTTTTGTTCTTTTTAAAAATGCATCAGTTGCCCTTAGTGTAAACAGCTAAATGTTCACTAAATTCATGGTGTACCATATTGTTTCTTTTCTTTTTTTAAATTACTTTTAGTGCTAAAGGATTCTGATTGTTCCTGCACATGTGTTTTCTGTATGCCACTTTTTCTATACTGGCTTACTTCTGAATAATAATGCAATATTGGTTAATTTACCTTTTTTTTCTAATTTGAAGTCTTTTTTAATCTCAGAAAATAATGTGTCGCTTTTTGTATAGTATGATTGTTTGACTGACTTCTTAAAATAGTAACTTTTGAACAATAACTTAGCTCAGTAAAGTGCTTTCTTTGTATTGAGTCATAGTGGCACAGTGGTTAGAATGCAGTAGTGCAGGCTACTGCCAGCAGTTCAGCAATTCAATTCTCACCGGCTCATCCAGGAAGGTCCAGCATCTGCAGGCTTCTGACTATCCACATGCACAGGCTTGTCTTCCCACCAAAGAAGGGCTAATAGTCCAGTGGATGTAAATCTAGATTTCCTGCTTCAAGAGTTTCTATAATTACTTACAAATGACATAGGGGAATTTAAATAAAGAGCTGGAACTAAAATCCAATGAACATGGCTATGATTTCAGTACAGGAATGATAACCTTTTCTTTCTTTGGAACTAATTATTCAAAATATATTGCAATATTTTTATTTTTAAATATTGAAATGTGTTTTGTTTTTTATAAATAATAAATGCTTTTTCAATCAGTCTTGTTTTAACCTTTTTACCTGACATGATTTAAGTTCTGATATTTTATTTTTGTATTTAAACACTTTTTTTTAAATGAGCTAGATTTATTAGTGTCTTAATATTTCCTAACAGGCATACGTTCTTGCAGCTATAGTAGCAAGTAATAATCCTCCAGAATGTATTCAATGGCAATTTGAGACAGGACCAGCTCAGTGAAGAATGCCAAGAGAAACATCTGGAGGGCTAGAGGGTCTGCAATGTATTTGGCGTATTACTTTGGATCTCATGGAATATGATTTCCTGACCCTTCCAAATACTATACTTTCAGATTTCACTGGTTGCTGAAAGCATGGGAACAGGAAGATGCATCAAGAAGGGAATTGTATTGTCTCAGCACTGAGAAGTGCTGATTGGTTAAGGAAGAGGTTAAAAAATGCTACCCTCTTTCCCCAAAAATAAGACCTATCCCAATAATAAGTTCTAGCATGTTTTTACGCATGTGCCTAATATAAGCCCTACCCTCTCCAAAATAAGCCCTTCTTAAAAGCCTGTACAGCTAGCTACCCACCCATTCCATCTGGTTGCTCGCAGTGTCGCAGCCATGAGGTGAGGCGGGAGGCCACATGATGTGCCAGTGCCACAGGGAAGGAGCTGTCCCACGTGCCCAGCATCGGCTTACCTCGGCCCCTACAGCCACTCCATCCACACCCCAATATTTGCCTCAGGGGGCAGCACCAGCAACCATATGCAGGAGCCCGTGTTGCTGCCAGCCCATTTCTGCTTGCTCACGGCTGCAATGGAGCAGGAGGCCAGCTGGTGCCACAGCCGCAAGGTGAAGCAGGTGTCAAGGCATGGATAGCCTGGCTGCGGGGGCCCTGAGATAAGCCAGTGTGAGGCAGCTCCACCCCCCACCTTGCCTCATTGCCATATCACTGCACATCGCTCAACCACCTACTCCATTGTGGCTGTGAGCAAACAGAATAAGTGGGCTAGCAGCTACCTGGGGTCCTGCTGGATGGGGCTGCTGGAGCTGCTACCACAAGGTGAGGCAACTCAGACCATGGATGGCCTGGCTGTGGGGGCCCTGAGGTAAGCTGGAGTGGGGAATATGGGGCAGCTCCCCCCCACCATGACTGCCACAGGTGCACCATGTGGCCACTTGCCCCATCATGAAGCAAAGTGGAAGGGGAAATAAGGCACCCCAAAAAATAACCCCTAGTGCTTATTTTGGGGCCCAAAAGAAAATGACCATTAAATTAG